TAAATCCATCATAGAATTCCCTGGGAGGGGGCAAGAGTTGACGGAGTTGCCGTTCGGCGTCCTCTTGGAGACGTTGCCTCTGTTTCCGAATACGGTGAAAATGCAGAGGAATAAATGGAGTCACTAACTATACAATCACTTTCAACCGAGGACTTGCTAGTCACTGGAATAAATGTAAGTGACCATCATGTGGTCACTAATGGCGGCGGCAAAAGTGCAGCCGGCGGCGGTGTTTGTGATGGTGGTGGCAGCAAAATTGAAGCCGGCGACGGTGCTTGTGATGGCCTTGGCTGTCATTGGGGTGGTTAGAGAGATTACGTAATTCGTAATTATGAAAATGGAAAACCACAATCTATAATAAATGTAATATTAAATATGTACATAAATGATTTGGTAAGTCACATATTTGGGAAATTTAAAACTATGTCACATTTTTGTCATTTGTATTTGATTTAGTAATATACATTAAAAAGGCCAACTACTTTTGGGGAAATTAAATATATTAAACATTAGTTGCCATTGAGCACTGCATTGAGTGTATTCAACTGCATCATTATCAGTGAACTTATTTTGGATTCATTTGGTGATTAAGTTTTAAATATTGTTAGTTAAACCACACTTGGAATTAAATTAAGGCTATTAATTGTAAGTTGGACTAATAGTAGGCCTATACATTAAGACTATAATCATTTTATTCAAAAAATTAATAAGAGTGGTATATGTCCCTTCTTCCTTTTCTATTATCTTCCTATAATTTCTAATAGATCTATTTATTAATAAGAAAATTATAACTTAACCTATAAAAATATAGAAAAATTATACAAATATTTATAGATAAACAATAAAAACAGGAAAAAATAAAATAAAAATTATAAAGTATAATAAAAAATAAATAAGAAACTTTAAAAAACTGGGAAATGAAACGAAATACCTAAAAATATTTTAAAAAATATGTAAGTCACTGCCACCGCATCCTCTACCTCCCAGCACCATCGGTTCCGATTACCCACAAAAATGTAATCTTGTACAAAACATGTCACATTCCTCTGAAAATGTCATGAAATTGACACTTTTTCTTTTTGAAAATATCCATCTTTCTTTTTAAAGTTGTCATCACGATGAAATTTTCGAGGCTCGGAGAAGTTTGGGAGAGAAAGGCATCGAGTGGCTAACACGTTTCTTTAACATGATTTGGAGAAACAACAAAATGCCAGTGAGTTGGAGGAACAGTACTCTCATTCCCCTACTTAAAAATAAGGGTGATGTACATACAAGAATGTGCCAACTATCGAGGGATTAAGCTCATGAGTCACACCATGAAACTTTGGGAGCGAGTGGTTGAGCAAAGACTTCATAAAAGTGTGAAAAATTCGGAGAATCAATTTGGTTTTATGTCTAGACGCTCAACAACTGAGGCTATTCACCTTTTCAGACAAGTTGTGGAGAAGTATAGAGACACAAAAAAGGACCTCCATTTGGTGTTCATTGACTTAGAAAAGGCATATGATAGGGTATCTCGAGATGTCCTTTGGTGGGCCTTAACTAGAAAAGTCATATCACGTAAGTATATCAATATCATCATGGATATGTATGATGCTTGTACTACAAGTGTCCGCACTAGTGTAGGGAGGACCGCAGAGTTCCTTATTACTATCGGAATGCACCAAGGATCTGCTTTGAGTCCTTTCTTATTTTTTATAGTCATGGATGAACTTACGAAGTCAATTCAAGACGATATACCATGGTGCATGATGTTTGTCGATGATATTGTATTGATTGTTGAGACGCAATCAGGTCTTAAAGCAAAGTTGGAAGTATGGCGACAAACATTGGAGAATAAGGGTTTCAAACTAAGTCGGAGCAAGACAGAGTACATGGAGTGCAAGTTTGGTGGAGGTAGAAGCAGTGGTAATAGCGGAATTACTCTGGATGGTAAGAAGATACCAGTTAGCGATATGTTCCGTTACTTAGGCTCCATAATTCAGAAGGACAGTGAGTTAGATGGAGATGTATCTCATAGAATCAGAACAAGGTGGATGAAGTGGAAGAGTGCGTCAGGATTTTTATGCGATCGAGATATGCCGACTAGACTGAAGGTTAAATTTTATAGGACAACAATTAGACCTGCATTAACTAATTGTCATCTTAGCAACACTCCCCAACATTAATATATAGATAGATTAAGAGAATAATTATTATTCAAGGGAAGAAGTTAAGAAAATAACTTACAACTTTAATAATCAACAAGCTTCAAGAGCAACACCAAGAAATGGAAGTTTAGCTCCTCATTTGGAGACTAAACATGCTATAAAATATAAAAAAAATACTATTCTAAACTGAGGTTAAGAGTATGGAAGAAAGTGTGAATAATAGTGAAGAAAAAGTGTGCTATTTATAGGTGTTTTTCAACACCTTGGGCCGGGTACCCGACCGGGTCATCCGCCATGTTCTCATGTTTCTGCACGTTGATTTGTCCCGGGTCATGTCTAATCCGACAGGGTGGCATATGGGACCCGACTGGGTCTGGCAATTTCCTTGCTTCTTCTGTTGTTAAATCTTACCCGACCGGGTGGGGATTTCTACCCGGTCGGGTTTTGCTCCTGGGCAGTCAAATTTCTTGTTTTCTTCTCTTCAAAGTCCTCTTTTCCAACACCATAAATCTTAAATATACTTTACAACTTATAAATGAAGATTAAAATACAATTACAACTAAAATCACACAAATGTTTACAAACTAAATAAAAGGATAAACAATACCTACAAATCCAACATAAAAACATACACTTGTGCACTACTAATTAGTGCATATCATTGATCATGGGTTGAGGATGTGGAGCGATATATTGTTGGGTGTTCGCCCCCTTCTCCAGACAGACACTCATGGGTGATCTTTGAAGATGTCATGGTTGAGTGAGCATTTCGTTGTGCTTCCTCCGGATGCAGATGATATGGTGATTCAGCAGCATGCACGAGCATACAATTTGATGTTGATGGGAGTTTCCACTTTTACTGACAAGAGTGATAATGACGTTCAGGTGATGTATTTTCCGATGCTTGAGAGTTTTGATGTCGCTACATACTTCAATTGGGGTAGTGCGCACTATAGGCAGTTGTGCCGAGGTTGTTAGAGTGGGAGCACATAGATCGTGTGTTTTGTGTTGTTATTACAGATTTGGTCATGGGAGTACATTCGCATTGCCCACCCCATTATAGTACGATACCACATCATCGACAGGGTGAGAACCCTTTGGGGCGTAGGTATGTTTAAGAACATAAGTCTATCTTTATTTTATTGTATGTTCTGAATATTTATATTAATTGGATTTCTATTCATATATGCTCCATGATTTGTTACATGACTATTTGTTGATCTTTCTCGCACATCTTCGGCTATTGGGCTTGGCTACTATAAGGATGCATTTGATTGCATGTCTGATGATCATGTTTGGTGTACATAATATAACATTAACTATCATATGAATAGCAGTATGACTAATTTCTTCCCCTTATAAAACAGATTACATGGATGCCACATACAACCCATATGTTAAAGGAGTTGCCCCCTACAGGATGAGAGCATTATGATATATGACGAGCACTGTGCCATTGATATGTTTTGACATTGTTGAGCATCATTTACCTGATCATGTACTGCGTCAGTTTGGCTATGAGCAGGTAATTCCAGCAGATGTGGACACATGTATGGATCTTCAAAAGCTGGATAAGCGTGGGAAGCCTACATAGGATTGGTCGTTCAAACATGTCTGATATGTCACTATATGGGAGAGGCGAGTGAAGCTTGTTGTAACTAGGACGCCGACATTACAACCATCGGTTTCTTTAGACTACATGAGATGCTATTACACCATCACACGATTGTTTGTCTCTCCCTCTTTCAGGCTACCTACTCACCATTATCAGCCTAGTTCCATGGCTTTGCACTTGGCAGTTAGTGTGTTACTAACTACTAAAGTAATTCATGTTCTTTATTTAACATTTTTTAATTGGAAATTATTATAATTCATGTTGCACATTTCAGACACAGGCTTTGCAGCGTATACATGAGCGAGCAACTGACACAGTGAATGAGCCGTACGTGTGGACAAGAACGGCTAGGTTTTATCGGGCATTGCTTTGTTGTGTTCGGATGTGTTGGGGCGAGTGAACTATGGGCATCTTTTACATATGACCTCCTCTCATGATTCTATGGTATCTACATCTACAGCAGCCACAACTTCTACATCCCAGAGTCATCGTGACAGAGTTGTTCTTCAACCACGTCAGTGGCATAGATGTATGCACCCACAACCACATCTCTATGACCGAGACGATCAAGAAGAGCATGAAAACTTGTAGTCTGTCTCCATTACATCTCATATGTGATGAACATTATTGGACTTATTCATGTACGCCGAATGTTGTTGAAGTTTTTTCAATTTGTGAAAGACTTTACTTTTTTGTGTATGTCCACTTGCAAACTATTGGATATTATGTTATTAGTTATTTAATCATTTGTTTATGATGTATTGGTGTGTTGGGTTATTCATATTGGGTGTTTGTACTGTTTTTCTATATTGTGTTTGTGACCAGGTGCATTGCCATGTTTCTATCAATGATTTTTATGTGTTATTTTGATATTTTTGGTTTGAAGAGAGAAAGGTAAAGTCGTCAAACCGTTTGACGACTTATAAGGATGTTTTTACTTGGACGGTAATACCTTCCAGACCAGACCAGACCAGACCAGACTTGAATTTTTATAAAAATACAAAGAAACCAGACCAGACCAGACCAGATCAGACCAGCAAATTACGGTCCAAGTAAAAACATCTTAAGTCGTCAATCAGGACGACGACTTATAAGTCGCCAAACGATTTGACGACATTTCCCAACCCAGGTTAAGTCTAGCGATATATCTTTAAATACTTTTAACCCAACATTATTTGCGTAAATACTTATTTAATTCGTATTATTTCGGAAAAAACTCATATTCTCTTGCACAACTTACTCTTCCACCAGATTTACTGCCAAGTTCTCCCTACCGGTTTCCCACTAGCCCTAGGCTCGGTAACTGAAACTGCTTCAAAACTGGTCTGCTTCAACAAAAATGTTAAAGATACTCCAAAATGGGATACCATGTATTGCCCCATTTGTGGCGGTGGGGTGAAAATGGGTGCCATTTTGGAGTACCCATCGCATTACTCGAGGATGGTCTTGGAAGAAGTTAAGGAGTTGCATATGCTTGTAAGAAATTTTTGCAGTTTAGAATTATAGAAGGTCGACACTAGTAATGGCCTCCAGGTGCTCGATTGAATGTTCGCTAGTTGACGGTCATTAAAAGCCACCCCGGAATATGAATGCATTGACTGCTTTACAATGGATAATTTGCTACGGTCCGTGAGTGCCGCTCAGTCTATCTACGCAACCGTAATCGTAGGCTTTCCAAGAGCTGAGCAGTCCAGTACAAGTTGTACTGAAAGAAATTCTTCGCATTCCAACAATCTATGGCGTATTGGGAATAGAAGACGAGAGCGAATATTTTTGAAGGCACAATCTCACTCGACCAGATCTTACCATAGACCACTCCCCAGGAACCTTCGTTATCCACGGCGACCCAAGCTCCCTCCAGAGCTTGATTTTGGGTATCGCGGAGTCATTGAGAACGACTACAGGTCCCCTCCAAACCCAATTAGCAATGATGGTGATAACCTAGAAGAGGAGGGAGAACAACAACAAAGAAACCATGAGCTAGAATCCGACGATGGAATAGAATGGGAATCCGATGAAATTGAAGCCATTTCATCTCTTTTCAGAGGGAGGATTCCTCAGAAGCCTGGAAATTTAGAAAGGAAAAGACCTCTCCCTCTCCCCGTTCCTCACAAGATTAGACCCATTGGGCTTCCCTCACCAAAGAGATTCCCTGCAACAAATAACGTTTCTTCTGCAAGGAAATCCATGACAAATAGGCTATACAAGGAGCCAAGTTTCTTGCTTCGATTGGCTAAAGAAATTAAGTGTCTTTCAGCAGAGGAGAATGTATCTGTGGTTCTCCGAAAATGGGCCCCATTTCTTAGAAAGGGTTCCTTGTCCCTGACCATCCGTGAGTTGGGTCATTTTGGACTCCCAGCCCGAGCACTACAGACATTCTGCTGGGCACAGAAGCATCCTCATCTATTTCCGGATGACCGGATTCTTGCTTCTACAATTGAGGTGTTGGCTAGGTCACATGAGCTAAAAATTCCATTAGATTTGAATAAGTTCATCAGCTTGTCGAGCCTTAGTGTGTTTGAGGCATTGCTTAGGGGTTGCATTAAAGGAGGAAGCTTGAAACTTGCATTGAAGTTTCTCCTGTCTGCGAATGATCGCAGAAGAATGCTGGACACTGGGGTGTATGCTAAACTTATTTTGGAATTTGGCAAGAACAGTGACACCAATAGGGCAATGATATTGCAGTTGCTAGAGGATCTTGCAGAAAGAGATGATCTTGATTTGAAACAACAAGACTGTACGGCTATCATGAAAGTGTGCTCACGGTTGGGGAAATTTGAATTGGTAGAGCGATTATATAACTGGTTCAAGATGACTGGGCGTGACCCCGGTGTGGTCATGTACACTACCCTGATTCACAGTCATTACTTGTCAAATAGATACCGTGAGTCTTTGGCAGTTGTTTGGGAAATGGAAGCTGCAAATTGCCTTTTTGATCTTCCAGCTTATAGGGTAGTAATAAAGCTTTTTGTTGCTCTGAATGATCTTTCAAGGGCTTCACGCTATTTCTCTAAACTTAAGGAGGCTGGTTTCGCCCCGACTTTTGACATATATCGGGACATGATGAAGATCTATACCTCTTTCGGGAGGCTGGCTAAGTGTCAAGAGATCTCAAGGGAGGCAAAGATGGCCGGATTCAAGTGGGGCAAGAAGATAATGAGGTTGCAACTTAAACAGTGATTACTTGACATTCTACCCTCCTTTTGTACGTGCTTGCATCAGTATGCAGAAACATTGTGATGTGCATGTTAGAGCAGCCATTACTACTTTCCCTCATGGCATCACTGTTCTGTTAATGGTTAGAGAGAGCAACTCCCTACATTTTTATTTCAAAAAAGATTAATTGCTTCTTTGGTAAAAAAAAACCTTCTCTGTATGTAATTGAGTAGATTGAGTAATTAGGGACACATTAACTTGAATACGAGTAATTAGGGACGTTATTTACTGTTTTATTTCTGAAAAATGGAATTTCAAAATGTTATCTACTTGTTATTATATATCTGAATATTTGTGACTCAACATTCACTTAAGTTGTGTGATGATATTAGGTAAACTTTTTTATAATTGAATAAAATTGAATTCATCAACATAGCATAACGTAAGTTATGACAAGATTATGTAGATGCTTCTAGAAAGCAGTGAAGATACAACTTCCTTAGTTTTCAATTAATATATGATTAATCTGTGTAATGATCAGCTGTAACTAAACCGTTGATCAATTGTAATGATAAAACTGAGCATGTGTTGAGGTGTTGCTGAGCTGGTGGGAAGAAGGTGCCATGAAATGTATAGGACTTCTTGAGTACTTGGGTCAGAATCCAACTCGCTAGCAGTCCGGCCAATTGTTGGGCAGGGATGAGTGTCATCATTTTATATATATATATATATATATATATATATATATATATATATATATATATATATATATATATATAATAGTAGTATGTAATGGTTTATATAGGACATGTGTCCATGCAACAAGGGAACACAACGTGATTACGTGATTAGAAAAGAAAGGATGGCTACCAAATACATTTTATTCTGAAGTAAGAGTATGCTTGATCGTTTTAATCAGATTCTTAGAAGTACATTTACTACCATACGTATTCAATGTGTTGTTCCTGGAACCACTTTGGATCCAATACAGATTGATACTTTTTAGAGTTTTTTCCCATGGAGGGGCGTTTTTCAAACTTATTTCCCAAACTAAGGTACTTTTAAACTTATTTCTCAAACAAGGGTATTTTTTGCCATGTCACCTCAGTAATACTGCTGGGCGACACATCAGCTTATCCACATCATCCCATCAATTCCATGTCATCAATTTTGAGAGTTTAGGTGTGCTTCTAAAATATAGAAAAAAATGAAGCTAATAGGAATCGAACCTGGGTGAAACACAAGAAAGACATGTATGTGAACCACTACACTACATCATCCACTTGTTAACAAATGCCTTTTAAGAAGTATAAATCATGTATCCTTCATCACGGGAGTGCACTATTTCTTAATCGCATGTATTATTCGTTCCTTTAGAAATATCTCTCTTTACCAAACAATAAAAAATGTAATAATAAAAAACTGAATTTGAGTTATTCAATTAAAAATCTTTTTAAAACTTATAATAAAAACATAATTTGCTAATTTAATTTGAAAAATAAAGAAATATTTAACTTAGAATACAAAAAATTAATCTAAACTTATTATGACAAAACACAATTTGGAATATGTATTTTTTTAAATAACTTAGCTTCAAATGAAATAAAATCAATTAAAATAAAAGTCATATTTCTGAGTTACTTATTTCTAAGTTACTTATTGCATGAAATTTACTTATTTTTTATTTTATTTACTTTTGAGTTATTTCAAATAACTTTTAAATTATATACTTCAATTTTTTTATAAATTTAAATTACATTTTTATAGAATTAAATATCGCAAACTAAGCTTTTCGTTGTGATTATTTCATTATAGCAGCTCAACTCTTCTGGACTCGGTTCAATTTTCTCATTGATTATTATTGTTTCAAATTCAAATACAACACTCAAATTTGAACTAAATTGTAACATGTTAAATTTTAGTGAAATTTGCAATACAAATACTTTAAGTCCAAGAATGTATACATTTAGCTGTGTATTACTCATTGCTTTAAAAATATATAGCTTCTTTTTAAAATAATTAAAAAATTACGCAAAATACTAGGTTTGTGATAATTAAAAATAAAGACTTAATTAAAATTTATTGTTACTAAATGTTATGAAAGACTCTAACCCACCCCAATTTAAAATCAGATACTATTCATGTCAAGAAAATCATATAATATTTATCTAAGAAAGAAAAAACTTGATAAATTTATAAACGAAAAATGCTTGGTTCCGAGGCGGAGTCGAGCTGAGGCTGAACAAAATTAAGCTGTTAGAGAATTTTCATAAAGAAAAATTTATACGATATTTTACATTAATCTTAAACCTTTTATAGAATTTAAAGTGGACTAGCATGAAATTTACTTTTATTTTATTTTATTTTATAAGTTTTTTATTGTTATATTTTTAATTGTTTGGGAAAGGAAGAAATATACTTCGTATTTCTAAAGGAACAAATAATACATGCGATTAAGAAATAGTGCACTCCCGGGGTGAAGGATACATGATGTATACTTCTTAAAAGGCATTTGTTAACAAGTGAATGATGTAGTGTAGTGGTTTAAATACATGCCTTTCTTGTGTTCCACCCAGGTTCAAATCCTGTTAGCTTCATTTTTTTCTATATTTTAGAAGCACACTTAAACTCTCAAAATTGATGACATGGAATTGATGGGATGATGTGGATAAGCTTATGTGGCGCCCAGCACTGATACTGAGGTGACCTGGCAAAAAATACCCCTATTTGGGAAATAAGTTTAAAAGTACCTTAATTTGGGAAATAAGTTTGAAAAACACCCCTCAATAAGAAAAAACTCATACTTTTTAGTTTGCGGTGTAGGTAATTTCCACGTTTTCAATTTTCTCGGTAATGCTTTCATTTAGCAAATAAACCTAGAATGAAAAGACAAGGAGACTTAAAATCCCAAGACATGTAATAAACTATTTATATTTGAACCAAGAAGTTTGTTTACTGGAGAACAAAAGTTCATATTGGAACCAAAAAGTTAGAAACAATGGTCTGAATATAACTCTTGGGCATTTAAGAGACACAAATGTGACCAAAAATAGATTGGACAAAAAAGTGATTTGCTCGTACGTCTTGTCTCCTCTTCTTCCCTGCCGACCCTGCGTCTCCCTGCTTCTCACCTGTGTCTCTTCTCCTCTGTGACTTTCTGCCTCCCCTTCCACTATTCTGCCACAATGGATGGCCGCCAACTCTCTGCCACGCCGCGCTTCCCATCGTCTTGTCGACCGCTCGCATCGCATCACCGGCCACTCACTTTGCCTCGCATCGCCTCACATTAGATCTAAGGGAGGGTGGGCGGGCGGCGACTAGGGTTCGATGGCGAGTGGTGGGGTTGGGTTGTCGGAGGTGGGGCTGGGAAGGGGTGGATCGAGGTTGGGTCGTTCGGAGCTGCAGCTGGATCTGGGGAGGGGGTGGATCGGGGCTGGAGTTAGGGGAGTGGTCTGGGATATTGGGACAGGGCGCGGAGCTCGTGATGGTGACTGCCGAAGAGGGGCGGCGGCAGGGTACCTGCGGTAGTGGGAATTGGTGGTGGTCGGCAGTTGGTGATGGTGGGAGGTCAGGCGAAGGTATAAAAGAAGTGGGAATGGGGGCGTTTGGACAGGCTGAAGGTCGGTGTATGGGTGGCAGCGATTTCCCGAATCGAAAACGGTCACAGTTACATGTTTTCCGGTAACGGTGAGTCAGTGACATACAAATCTGGAAGTGACATACGACGGTGACATAAAAATTCGGCATTGGTAGTGACATAAAGATGTCACAGTGACATCAAATTTTTCCAAAAATATGATCTTCTTAGTTATTTTATGTCCTTTTATAAAAAGGGTGACATTTTTGGAAATTGGCATTAATTTAGTAATATTCAAGGAAAAAACCCAAAAAGTTAATAATAGTTCATACATATTTGCACCTTCCAAAAATAAAGATAAACACGGACATCAACAGTTTCATAACCGTAATAAAAGGATGTATATACGGTGATCAAAGCCCTTTTAAATTCGTTCATACAATGGCTATGTGGTTGTAATAATAAGTGAGTGCTCCTTGCATAACTTCTTTTCTTTTTGATGGATTATGAATTGTGTGCGTGCTTTTAGCAGCAGCATCCATGACGAGTTTTGATATTTTGGGACACCAGTTGTATAGATTTGGGCCACGACTTAGACTAGATGCATGCTTTCTATGAGCCGAGGGCTTTAGATTTTGCACACACACATACATTGATACATGTACTTACTTGTTACTTGAATATAATTTTTGGTTTCATCCAAAAAAGGATATATACGATGATGATGTTTCCTGAGAACAAAAACAAAACAAAATAGTGTTGAAAAGCAAGCGAGCTATGTTTAGGTTGACGTGACAAAGAATGACATTCATTCATTAAGAAACAAAGCGTTGGATGAGGAAGGGAAAATGAAGTACAGTGAGCAGTGTTACGTTAAAAGAGATGAGAAAGAGCCTGTTGTAGCAAAAACTGGGACCGTTCCATCAATTCAGGGCTCAATCGAAACATGAGCACACAAAACTCCATCTGATCAAGGGCCCCATCTCCGTCAGAATCCCCTTCTTCAAGCATGCACCGGAGCTCACTGTCCGTCAATCCCAGCAGAGCAGAGTTGTTCCTGAGGCTCTCCAACGTGATCACCCCTTTCTCCTTATCCATCAGCACCTCAAACCCATTGCACAGCTCGCCGATCAATCCATCCCCGCCCAGCCTTTCCGCCATCACCGGCAATACATCTTGGAACACACTTCTTCTCCATTCCATTATGGGCTATGTATTACAAACATATGATTGCGCGCTTTCAGTGAAATCAAATGGGCCGGGACGCGCGAATATATATATATATATATATATATATATATATATATATATATATATATATATATATATATATATATATATATATATATATATATATTCGGAGATGGAGATGGGGTGTAGCGAGGTTTCGGAGAAATCATACAACTCAGATACAGCAAGCAGATGGACGACGCGAAATTCACCTCGCTTTGCCTCCTTAGCTTATTCTGGAAGAAGAAAGAAGAAGAAGTTGCTATCCAATTTCCTGTTTCGAGGGCGGCGGTTCAGGGTCCAAAACGTGGACAATGGACGTTGACCCACTTAGAAATATTGTCATTTTCATGCTCAAGAAATAAATTCATATTTATAATTAAAATTACGGGTGACTATAAAAACATACTACTTCTGTCCCAATTTACTTAGCCAAACTTGACTTTTCAAAACAACGACCTCTAACTTTGACCAATTATTTAAGCTAACATATTTATGCAAAATTTAATAATTTTATACTTTTATGATAGTATTTTTAACAAAGAACATTTTCATATCATTTTCATATTATCAATACTTTCTCTATATAAACATACAATCGGTCAAAGTTAGACGACGTTGACTTGAAAAGTCAAGTTTGGCTAAGTAAATTGGGACGAAGGGAGTAATCGGTATCAAACTGACCCGTAAGGGTACATAATTCAATACGGGATATAAAAATATTATGCAGGCCGTTCCCGCCGCCTCGGCCATCATCCACCAATGTCACTTCCGATTGATAAAAAATGTCATTATATGCAAAACTGGCATTTTTCTTCGAAAATGCTATAAAGATAAAGTTATACTCTTTGAAAATGTCAAATATCTATCAAATTGCAATCACGATGGCATTTCGAACAAATGTTGGTATTTTTCGGTGGTCAAAGCTAGTGGTGTTGGGAGGTTGTTGAGTTGGAGGTTGACGCCTACATATTTTTTTTTTCATTTTTTAATTTTTTACTTTAATTTTTAAGTTTTTTATTTAATATTCCTATTTTTTATTTTAATAATTTTTATTTTTATTAATTTTATTTAATATAGAGTATATTTTATTTAATATATTGTTTTGTGTTTTTTTTTTGTTTTTTTACAATTTCATTATATATTAATTAATTTGTTACTTTATGTTTTAATTATTAATGAAAGGTGTTGGGGCTTGGGTAGGGGTATACTTGTTCAAGCACTAAAGTTACTCGTATTCAAAACATGATACTCTTTTTTTTGCATTTTGCCTATGTGTTACTCCTATTTAGGGAATTCTCTCTTCTATCATTTGTTCATCTTAGATAATTTTTATGTTAAATTTTGGTATATATTGAAAGAATGTTTAAGTTTAAAAATCATTAAAGACTAAACGGGAAGTCTCTTTTTATTTGAACCCTCTCATATAGGGTGATGTTCAAATTAAAATTAGCGAGAAATGAGAATGAATTTTAGTCATTCGATTAGACTATGATGCAATAAAAGAGGTTCACGTTGCACAACAATATGGCATTATGTGTTGTGTCTTTTTTATAAATACTGACGGAGTATATTCACGTATACCCCAGGAGTATCAATGGACAGAGAATTCAAGTTATATCAATGTCCAATGTGAAGTTCCAGCTGAGATCGACCTCGACACATGAGGTTTGGCTACGACACAAGATCACAAATCAATAAAGTATGGATCCGCGGCCGAGGCTGACCTAGACCCCCACGTGGTTGGTACAACACCGAGCTCCTAAATTACCAAGATAAGGCCAAGTTTGAGGCCGACCTCGAGCACACCGAGGTATGTACCCGGCCCAACCTTGAATATGGTCGCTAAGTCAACGGAAATCAACAAGAACGAGGAAATGGCCGCTAACGGACAAATTGAAGAACAGAAACGAATTCCTCAATATGAGCTCAATATACCCGAGCTCCAACCTCGGGGAGCTCGGGGTCTCACTAACCAAGTATGGACTTAGACATTTCAGCAATCAAGTACCGCACGAGCAACAACCACGTCACCAGCGCTATGCGCGCCAATCAGCTAGTTGTCCCAGTTATGTCTCCAATCACCTTTTACACATGTCACCTTCCTAGTAGACTAGTACACTTATTCTGTTAGACATGTGTGACACTTGTCTTCACCAAAATAGAATAACATCTTTTTACTTCTTGGTTGAGTATTTCTCCCTTAGTATAAATATTACCTTTCAACCTGTGGAGAGGGATCTGAAATTCTCTGTGCAATCTTGTTGATACTCAGTCCAAATTTTGACATGATCTTACTTAGCATTTTTTCGTCTCTCATATTTCTTGGATTTCGGCTACCCCCAGGGTCGGCGATCCATCATTTTCGTGCTCTCGTTGAGAGAAGAACAGTGAATCAAGTTAGAGTCTCCCTTTTTTCTCAGATCTACAACAAGTTTTTCATCATCAACAATGGTAGGAGAAAAGAGAATGGTGTGAAACACGCGTGCTGTTGCTCCCATCGCTCAACCTGAGCCATCGGTGGAGCTCACTGCTACCTCTGCCCTCTAGAGGGCTGCCAAGGGCAAACAAGCTGCCCCAGCGCCTGTGCAACAATATCCAGTGGAACTCTCCAGATCTCCACCACCAGCTGTCTCAAAATTGCGATGCAACGACAATATCGTCCGCTTAAGTGGTGTCGCAACTTCAGAATTTTCCAATTGCGGAACCTTCGGTGACGGTTGGTGCCCTCATCTCCGGATTGCAACAGATTCTACCAACGCTGCAATCCCAGGCAGAAACAGGAGCGACGAATGACGCTGTGAGACATATCTCTTCAATGGCTTCACGACCACAATATCTGAGGGTGGGTTCCATAGAAGTCCCATGGGTTGTTCAACAACCCGCTGAAATTGTGTACTCTCCATCCCCGTAATGCCAACAGCCCGCACCATTGGTCACTGCGGTTTCCCGCCAACAGGCCACAACGGAGACCTTTTCCCCTCCGTTGTGCCAGTTATCCACCGATGCACCCATCAACGTTGTGCCTCTAGCACAGCGGGCAATAACTTCTCGCCCCTAGATGATAAAGCAATTTGTGGTCCCACCGCCACCATGTATGCTGCCACCGAAAAATATTGCATGCCGTATGGATTACAGTTGCCGCAATGATGAAGGCATCTACACCATCACCACGGAGGACTCCTCACAGTCCCTCTCCCCACAACAGCAACAAGGGGACCATAACCCCATCCCATGGATTGAATTGGGAAGGCGTCCCATCTTCAATCGCCTGGGTGACAGAGCCACGGTGAACCAGCGCCTATCTTTCAACATCCAGGGAGTGAACAGGGAAGATTCTCCAAGCCCCGATGTACACCTCCGCCACCAACAATGGCCACAGAACCACGGAAAGAGGACTCCCGTGTGAAGCCCCGCTTTGGAGAGGCCAGGGGGCAATCACTCCCCCAGATTGACCCCCCCACCCCACCAGCAACCTCCCTCTCCCACAAGGCAGCAAGGGAAATCGCCCCTGCACCAAAAACAACCTCCACTCTAACCAAGGATCTCACCGTCGAGGCGCTTACAGAAGGCTCCACCATGGCGCCGGTGCCAGGTAGACCCAGAGAGGAACAAGTCCGTGCTCCCACTCAACAGGTGAATGAGTTGCGGGCAGTAGCGGTTACACCAATACCAGCACCCCTTCCTCCACCTCCAACACGGGACACCCAGTTGGAGGCGCTACCACTTCAGGTGCAACAAATGCAGGCTCAACGCAACCACGAGCCAACAACGGTGAGGGTAAGATCTGCCACCCCATTCACCACCAGAATTTTGCATGCACCTATACCCCCAAAGTATAAGGGGCCGAACATTCAACTCTACGGGGGTAAAATTGATCCCCCAAGAGCATTATTCTCACTGTCAGTCTGGTATGTATATGTTGGGCGCTCGCGATGAGTAAATTTGCAGAATGTTTCCCTCCACTTTAGAAGGGAAAATCATATGACTGGTTTAACGACTTATCTGATGAGTCCATTGACTCATGGAGGGAGCTAGCCATGAGCTTCCTCACCCATTTTGTGGCAAGGTCAAAGACGAAGAAGCACTTCTCCTACCTCCTCTCTGTCAAGCAGGGCAAAGATGAGCCTCTAGGCAAGTTTTTGCAAAGGTGGAATGAAGAGACCTCAAAGGTTTGTGGAGCAGATGAAAACATTCGTCTAGCCATGTTACAGGAGGTTCTGGGAACCGGGAGCTTCTCAAGGAGCCTGATTACAGATCCCGAAGGAACTACCAGTGGGCACTCCTCCGAAGTTAGAACTGTGTCTTGGCGGAGGAGGTCCACAACCAAAAGAAGGCCTAGGAAACTGCTTTCAAGCCCCCAAAACAAGAGGTGTGAGCATGTGGCCCGATCACGGATGTCCAACAGTAGGGCATCCCAAAAGTGTTCAGTCATGCGGTCCTCATCGGCCGCATACTCCGGCAAGAACCTAGCCAAGGTTCGAAACTCTTGCTCCAATTGCTTAACAGTGACACCTTCCCTTTTCTTGAGGTTTGTGTACTCCCTACGCTTCACATTAACCTCGTAGTCGGAGTAGTATTGAGCGTAGAAATCCTGCTCAAAATTTTCCCATGAGACTGTCCCACGGTACTTTCCTTCTACACCTTCCCACCATGTGGAAGCCATTCCTTCGAGCAAGCGTGAAGCAATAGTCAACTTTATGTCAGGGGTGATCTGCATGTCTCTTGCTGCATCCTTCACCTTCTTAATCCAATCGGCGGCAACGGTGATGTCTCTAGTGTCGTCAAAGGATTTGCACCCCAAAGCCCTTGCTTCTTCGAGGTACTTGGAGATTCTAACACAGAAGTCTCCACCGTGTCCACCTTGGGACGCCCCTGAAATGGCCCTTGAAGCTCCCCGGCTCCCTTTACCTGAACCTCCTCGAGGGACACGCCTAGTTTGGCGTCTTAGCTCTCTCCTTTGCTTCTCTTTTTGATACCATTCAAACAATTCACCCATTTGGGCGAATCGGGCATCACTCTCGTCATTGTCCTCCTC